CGAGTCTCCCCTCGCCTGGGTCTGATGAGGACACTGGGTGACGTGATTACCAGTCTGTTCCCACTTATATAGACATGAGTTAAGGATCTCTCTCTCTCTCTCTCTTTCTCTCTCTCTCTCACACACACACACACACAGATATATGTTGCCGCATCTCAAATTTAATGCTGGTATTAGAATACACATTTATATCGTAATCAAACTTATTTCGATAAACGTGAATAGAAAATATCAGTAAAATATAAGAAGCTATTATATTAACGTTTGGCAACAAATCAAAAGGGCCTTCTTTTTTCTATGATATTCGATGCAGAATTATCTTCGGGTTCGTGTGAAATTGCACATCTGTCCTAAAAGTCTTAGACAAAAACCGCTTATCTAAAACATTATCGTGGGGAGTCAAAATACTTATGAAGATAACCACGCATCAGAAATGACAAATAGACTTTGGAGGCCCATTCTGATTTATTGTCAACCATTAATTGATCCGTCTTCTACATATTTACAGCAAATGTTATATTCTGAAATGCATAATATTGTAATCAGTTATATTCATAGAGTCTATAACTATGTTTATTCTGTTACCAGCATTAACTCTGGTGAGGTTGGCACATATCAGAAGCTCTGCACAACTGTCGGCTGGATCACATTTCTACTGCCTGGCAACTTCGAATGATATCGTTAGGACATGTGCTCATATTTTTGTCAGTAAAGTTATATTGGGTTTTGCTGGCTTCAAGAGGCCTAGGCTATCTCCCTGCCACTCGCTGAGGTGTAACTGTGTTGACTATTTTTGCCTTGCTGTATTTTGTGTTTGTTATATATATATAAGTTCTCTTAATGATTTTGTATCTTTGTATATATTTGGCTATAATTGTGAATTGCATATTATATAATAATATATATGGTTTATTTGTCTCTCTTCACACGTCCGGTATAGATATAGGTATAGATATGCATATATATTTGTACAAGTATACGTATATATGTATATGTATATATATATATATATATATATATATATATATATATATATATATATATATACACACACACACACACACACACACACACATATATATATATATATATATATATATATATATATATATATATATATATATATATATATATATATATATAATTATTTACTTATTATTTCCCTGAAAAGTCTGACTGGATGGAAAAGTATCTTTTGCTCGGCTATCAGTCTTGTGAATGTAAATATTTTCACATATGAATTACATCCTCAGTTGTACGCTTCTACTGACATCTAAACATCAAAAGATATTGATGTTGAATCAAGGGAAACAGGGACAAAGGTCACAGTAGTAATTTAAACACATATATTACATCACAGCTGTTTTTTCATTACAAACTTAGTATGTAATTTTATCTATCAGTAACAAATGTTTTATAAACAATATATTTGCATGATACCACATATATTAGTTGTAATTGCAGTATGTATATTAATAATTTAAAAAAAGCAAGTGGAATACAAGGCGATTGAGAACATGGCCTGGTAAATGGAATTCAAAGAATCATGAAGCACAGAAACTTCTCATCGCCATCAAGTTCTCACTTTGCATCTTTTTTCCATTGTAACAACACTGCAATTTTATATATATATATATATATATATATATATATATATATATATATATATATATATAAATATATATATATATATATATAAATATATATATATATATATATATATATATATATATATATATATATATATAAATATATATATATATATATATATATATATATATATATATATATATATATATATATAAACACACACACACACACACACACACACACACACACACACACACACATATATATGTATACATATATATATATATATATATATATATATATATATATATATATATATATATATATATACATATATATATGTATATATATATATATATATATATATATATATATATATATATATATATATATATATATAAGTATATATATATATATATATATATATATATATATATATATATAAATATACACATATACACACACACACACACACATGTATATATATATATATATATATATATATATATATATATTTTTTTTTTTTTTTTTTTTTTTTCTTTTCTTTTCTTTTTTCTTTTTTCTTTCTTTTTTTTCATTTTTTCTTTCTTCCTTTTTTTTTCTTTTTTTTCTTTCTTTCTTTTTTTTTTTTTTTTTTTTTTTTTTTCATAAAATGATATTCCTTTTCCGGAAAGGTGCTGTGTGCTTTGGCCGGCGGCAGGTGGTGCATCTGAGCCGCTGTTCCTCTGCTGGCGTGAATGCTTCTCTCGCTCCGCCGCCAACCAAAAGCCTCATTTCTTGGGTTGTTGTTCGATCGAGTCCTTATTTGTCTGTTGTAAAAATGGCAATCATAATTATATAACAGTGATAATAGTAATAATAATGATAGTAATAATGACGGAAATAATAATAACAGTAATAATGACAGAAATAATAATAATAATAGTAATGATGACAGAAATAATAATAGTAATAATGATGGAAGTAATAGTAATAATTATGGAAATCATAATAATAGTGGTAATAATGGAAATGATAATAATTATACTAACAATGATAATAATGATAATTATAATACTACTATTACTGCTAATGTTAATGATAATGATAATCATAATTATAATAATAATAATAATAATAATGATAATAATAATAATAATAATGATACTAATGATAATGATAATAATGGTGACAACAATAACAGTGATAATAATGATAATAATAATAAGGATAATAATAATGACAATGATACTAATAAAGATGACAATCATAAAATGATAATGAGACAACAACAATGCCACTCTAAATGCTGTGGTATTTCTCGTATCATTATTGTATCAATTCTCTTATCAGTACTCTCGTGTCCTTGTTATCACTGAATGTCTCTCTTATGTAACGTTTCTCTATCTTAGTTGTATTTTTTTGTATAATTTTAATAATGATTTCTCTTCCTTTTCAAACCATCTAATATTCACACCGATGAAACTAGTACATGTGCGGTCTACCACTTCGCTGCTGCTGCTCCATCCGCGCTTTTCTCCCTCTTAAATGGCTGGTTCAGGGGACGGCGGACAAGCACCTTGCTTCAGGGTTCAGAGACGCAAAAACTAATGCATTTGGTGCAGTGAACTGATTTAATTGCTTAATTTCACGAATCATTGTAATTTGTTTACAAGACACAGACACACACACACACACACACACACAAACATACACACACACATACACATGTATATGTATGTAAACTCAATATGTATGTATACATGTGATGTGTATATATAAACATATAATATATATTCATAGAAATGTATACACACACACACACATATCATATATATGTATATATATATATATATATATATATATATATATATATATATATATGTGTGTGTGTGTGTGTGTGTGTGTGTGTGTGTGTGTGTGTGTATACACATATATATGTGTGTGTGTATGTTTGTGTGTGTGTGTGTATGTATATATATATATATATATATATATATATATATATATATATATATATATATATATATATATACTCGTATACCTATATATATAGACACAAACACACATACACACACACACACACACACTGTAAAGGCTATGGTGTAACAGCAGTGATAGTTAACGTAAGTACGGCTCACAACACAAGTTATGGTGAAACACGCACGACTTCTGTGGGTAAAAAGCGCGGAGTGCGGGAAGGTCGGCGGTTAGCCCGGCGGGGCGGAAGTGACAACCTGAAGCCGTAGGCCATTGACCTATCTTGACCAGCCCAGCGCTGGGCGCGGACTCTCTCTAACTGGGTAAGGATAAGTCTGATATGCGAAGCTGACCCTCGCCCGGGCTATGAGGGGAGCCCGGCCTGTGTCGACTCGCTAACAGTGTATCAGCTGGTGCTGACTCGGCTTAAACCTTACCCACCGTGGTGCCCAGCCACAGCAGTAACCTACAGGCGAAAATTGCAACTTCTCGCGCCTGGGTGGGGCGCGAACCGCTGACCCCTCGGATGAAAGGCCGACACGTTACCACTGTACTAGCACGGAGGCTTCTCAATGGGTCATACCTGGGCCTTTAAATACCCGGGACGTGGCGTGGGGGGGGCGCCACCTGGGTCAGCGTGGGTACGCCCCTTGCCCACCCGCGTGGGGCCACGCCAACTGAGGAGCCACGTGACAAGCACGCCACCACGTGGTCCTATACACAGTATACACACACACACACACACACACACACACACACACACACACACACATGTACATGTATATAAATTTAATATGTGTATATGCATGTAATATGTATATATAAACATATAATATATATTCATAGATATGTATATACACACACATATGTCATATATATGTGTATACGTATGTGTGTATATATATAAATATATATATATATATATATATATATATATATATATATATATATATATATATAAATATATATATATATATATATATATATATATATATATATATATATATATATATATATATACTCGTATACCTATATCCATAGACGCACACACGAATTTAACGTAAATATTTATTATAACCTTTGTAGTTCTGTTCCACTGGGTGTTTATCGGCCTTTCCTCTGCATGAGGTTTGAGTTTTCGAACTGGTTGTCTGGCACTTGCTTTCCATTACTTCAGAATATCTGCTTTAAGAGCTATCAGCAACTTATAGAAAAATGAATAAATGTGATTAGATGAGCTAAGTGAAATACAGTAATGTAAATTCCGAAAAAAAACATTGCGAAGAAAGCAAACACGTGCTCATTAACTTAACAGTTAATGGGATGTGCAGATAAACAAACATGCGACACCACAGCACTCTCAACGAAATTATATACATAAACGAGAAAGATGGATAATCCAAATTAAGACATCTATTTCATCCTTGTCTCACAATACCAGAAGGAGAACGTTACCGACCAATGTCGACGTCTATGTCGATGGAGGCCAATCGGATTTTGTGAGCGTTAATGTCCACTTTCACATCCACATCGTGCTTTGCATCCTTGTCTTTGCCATCGCCGTCTTCGGCACCGTGGGCATTATGGACGGCAACAGGTGCTACCATACCACTTCCAGAAAACAGGGCAGGAATTGGTTCTTGTCTTTTCTTCCGGAGATGTAAACTCGCTTTTCTCGGGAGCTGCTTCGTGTCTGCAGCGGGTCCTTCGTCCAATAGACCTGCTCCGAATACAGCCTTAGCACCAGAATAAAAGTTTATTCGAATTTTATAGATAAGAGTTTATTCGTTAACGGAAATTTTCATAAGACTTAAAAGAATGACATAATTTGCTATCATGCTTTGATACTTATTTGTCAGCCACTAATGGATTAATAACTTTGTCGAATTGAATTTCATTATATACTTCAAGGCTTCAGTTCTCATGTTAGACGAAAACTATGACACAAAATGACAGAACATACCACTGTGGCAAATAAAATACCAAGTAGGAGAAATGATATCTTCATCTTGGCTGTCAGGAAGGAACAAAGTGTACAAAATCATACATGTATTTCTTTTGGATATCGTATGTCTTTAACCTTTTACTACACTTTTCATGATCGTGTTTTGTCACTCGTATGACAAATTTGATTTATTCACTACAGATAAGATTTCCAAAAAAAAGAAAAGAAAATTGAAATCTTTCACTGAGCGGAAAAGGCTGTAAGCTTACCCGTAGTTGCCTGAAGACTGCGGAGAACTGCGCACCTATCAGTAATATGACATTACCCTTCACATTTGATTGCGTATGCACCTGTTTATGTACAGATGTGGGTGGAAACTCTTAGGGCGCCACGAACTTGTGCGTGAACGTATGTGGGCGCGTGTGCTTGTGTTGGAGTTTCATCATCATTAATTAGGAGCTAACGCTGGCAGAGGCGCATAGCAGCATCCCCTCTTTGCTTCCACCAGCGAGGGTCCCTCAAGGTGAGCCGCCAGGCAGGGGCCCGGCCCATCTCTAGCTCCTCACGACAGGTTTGATCGATCTGCCCAAACCACGACTTTCTTGGTCGTCCCACAGGCCTCCTCCACCTGGGATTATCTCGGACAGAAACAACCTGGTGGGCAGGGTTATCCTGTGGGAATCGAGCAAAGTAGCCGTATAGCCTGAGTTGGCGATTACGGATTGTGCATGTAACAGGTCCTGTACTGGTCTCATGGTGCAACCGTTGGTTGGACACACGGTCCCGCCAATGTACCTCATGATCCGGCACAAAAGGCATCAAGACGAAATTCCACAGCACAAGATAGGGTCTAGGTTTCACTACCATAGTAAAAATGGCAGTATCAGGGCCCTGAAGACATGTAACTTGGTCCTTCTGCACAGGTACAGGCATCTCCAAATACTCTTGTCGAGAGATTTCATGACAGGCCAGGTCTATCTGTCTACTGACTTCCTGGTCTGACGGCCCAGACACGCGAACTGCACTACCGAGGTATATAAAACTCTCGATGATTTCACTGCAAGCATGTACCCACTGCACAGGGTCTCCTAGTAGTCCCACAAAATTCTTGTTCTTGGTCCAGGAGACCTCTAGCCCCAGGGGCTTCGCTTCATTGCTAAATGCAATGCACTTTACAGCACTTTCAGTGCCTGTATACAGATTTGCTATTAATCTAACAATCCTTCTTGGAATTCCTCTTAGTCTCAGGATCTCCCAGATTGATTCTCGATGCACTGTATTAAATGCCTTCTTGAGGTTGATGTAGGCTGCAAGCAGCCCATGTCTGAACTCACGACGGCGCTCTACAATGACTCAAAGCATCAGGATGCGGTCTATTGTTGATTTAACAGGAGTGAATCCAGACTGCTCCGGCCTTTGGTGTCTCAGCAAGTGATCTCTGATACATCTCAGTAGTATGTGCACGAGTGCCTTGCCTGCTATACTGAGTAGTGTAATGCCTCGGTGATTGCTGCAGTCCCACCAATCCCCTTTCCCCTTCCAGAGAGGGATGACTACATCCCTCAGCAGGTCAGGGGGAATGGTACTGGGCTGCCAGATGGCAGACAGGACTGCATGCAGGCCCCTTGACATAGGTTCTCCACCAGCCTTTAACAATTCAGCTGGGATGCCACAAAAACCTGCTGCTTTACCACTCCTCGGCTTGAAAATCGTCCCCTCTGACTTTAGTCAGGGAGGGTGGATCCTCGCTGATGAATGGGTCTGGCAGAGGAATCTCAACATTACCCGCATCCATGTTAACTGTTGGTGGATCAACCTGATACAACTGCTCAAAATACTCAGCCCAAAGGCCCGTCAGGATCTAAGATTATCTGGCCACTTGCTGAGTGGACTGCAGTCATTTGTGAGAAGGGCTTGAAGTTCAGCTTTCTCAGAGCTTGGTAGGCAGGGCGAAGGTCATTTACTAGGAAATGGCTTTCGAATTCCTCTGCAAGATTCCTGATAAACTGTTCCTTATCCCTTCTTAATAGTGACCTAGTCCTACGCACTAGAGAATGGTGCAAGTTGCGATCCCCTGACAATCGAGCCGCACGACAAGCATCTGTGGCTTCCAGTGTCTCCTGCAAGATGGAATTCTGTTTTGCTCTTGAACGTTCACCAATGGATTCATGGGCGGGATCAAGCATTCCACGCTTGAAAGTGTCCCACAGGTCCTGGAATACTGTGAAACGACCAGAGATAGCTTCGGCAAACCCCAGCCACAAGTAATCTATGATCAGTTTCACAGAACTCGGTGCTTCGATACACCCTGCAGTTCTGAAGGATCCTTCATTGAGTGCTAACAAGGATGTGGTCGATCTCCTTGGCCACAGTACCCGTATCGCTGTTCCAAGTCCAACGATGCAGGTCAGAACGCTGATATCAGGAGCCAGAGATCCTCAATTTCTGGGACCTAGCAAAGTCACGGAAAAGGAGGCTATTCTCGCTCCTAGTATCAGCTCTTGAGCCATGAGGACCGACAGGCATCTCGTAGCCAGCTTGATCGCATTGAAGTCACCCAGAACAATACAAATATCTCGCCAAGGCCTCTACCTTTGTTCTGCAGGTTAAATGGGGGTGGATCTGTCAATAAGGAAGTGCTTTGTGACCTGGTTGCATAAGATTTCTCTCAAAGATTCACACAAGTCACGTGCTGTTTCCCATTAAAAATCAGACAATATACTGGCATGGTCATTAATACTAAAACATAGCTGGTTCCTGTAATGGAAATAAGGTTGGGAATAAACAAGCTCCCTACTGTATTGGTAGGTGTTAATATATACTTTGTAAACCAAAATATATTTTTTTGAAGGTCTGATTATCCTCGTACGACAAGGTACAACATAGACCTGCCAGTTCACATTATTTTTGCATCATTGCTATAAATTTTGCATTTCACATTAATCGAAAGTTCATATGTGTACTGGAAAAAAATGTCGAAATTCGGGCTTTGGTCTGATGTGGTAATTCCAGGGCAGGCTTTCTTACCACTGATTCTGGTCTGTTAATACCCTTCCTGCACTCAATATCTGGAACTGACAAACCCTGACCTAGGCGAAACGCTGAACCGACACATCTAGTTCCTGGTTTCCACTAGTCAGACACCTGCCGCGCAAACTACCATGGCGTATCTAAGAATGCTTCAAATAATTTTAAATGGTAATATCTCTTAGCAGATTAGTTTATCTGCTGAGAGATATTGGTATTCAGTAATAATCATCTTCATCTATCATTCTATTATATTCAATGTTCCGACTATCCCTTGCTATTACAGATATACACTTTCTAATTTTGAAAGCTGGGTTACAAGTTGAGTGCATCATCTGCATGCATGATGTATCGTCAGTGGAATTATGGTAAGTGATGTATATTATAGATGATGTACAGTGTTGGAGAGAAAATGTTACAACGCCTGTAAAGGGTCAAAAGAGCTTCTGTTGACTAGTTTCTCTATTGACTAGTTCCCATTTAAATGATCCAATGGTTACAGTGGAATTAAAAATGTCTAGGTGTCGTGTGGTCATATATTCTCCTGATATTGTTCCTCGTTCTTTATTATCTATAAATATATTTTCGTTATATTCCAAAAAAGTGAGTTTGTGAAACTTTGTGTGAATTTACGCTGCACAAGTTTAGGAGATCAAAAGGCAATTAACATTTCTTAACATAACATAATTGCAAAATATGTTCTTTTTTGACAAATATATAACAGAGACTAGGCAAATACATCTCTTACATTGTGTCAGATAATCTCTAACAAGATATTCATCATCATTTAAACCTTTTTCTACAGCAATTTGAACACCCAGGAACAAAACACAGATAGCCGGACAACAGGAAAGCTAGAGGAGGCCAGAGAGAGGGCGGATTAAGACTTGTCAGAACAAAACCTCACCCTTTGTATTCTTAGTGTATTTTATTATTTATACTCTGTAACGGTTACCCTGGGGCCTGTGAGCTAATATTTAAAGTCAAAGCGATTTATATTGATATTTACTCTGCCACTTTCAGTAAAATTTCACAACTCCATATTTTTACTGCCAACGACAGTGGCCCAAACTAGGAGTTGTACACTCACCTCCCACAGAAGGTAAGGTACTCGGACAAGGTAGGGTAAGGATCATACCCTTTTAGTCAGGAATCTCAGAATTGACCTCTCTGTGAGGAGCTACTGGGTAATTCGGAATGCAAGCACAATGTAATATGATGTTAATGACATTAGTGAGTATCATATCACTGTACTGTTTCACGAAAACAATCGGACATAAATTTATTAAAACATGTATATGGGCCCACCCAGGCATAAAATTATTATAATGCACATGCGTTTTTATTAACAGGCACACGAACGCACACACACACACACATATAGATAGATAGAGAGAGACTTCCTCGTGCTTCCTCGTGGCCACCCATAGAAACTGGGTACCTTGCAGTCCCAGGCTAAACTGTGGGGGATCTCGGAGCAGTAGGAGGAGTCATGGCCCACCGGCATGAGGACAAGCCCCCGCTCTGTATGAACTCCTGCCCCTAGGGTCAATGGGTGGCTCTGGGGAGGACCTTGCCAGTCCTCCTCCCCCTAGATAAAAAAAACTCACTCGTATTGTTCTGGGCGACAATGTGGTATCCAGCTGTGATCAAGCTGGCTACGAGTTGGGTGTCGTTCCTCATGGCTCGGAGCTGATCCCAGTACTATGAACAGCCTCTTTTTTTGCAAGGTCCCAGAGATTGAGAGTTTCTGTTTGCTGGTATCAGCGCTCCAACCCGCATCACTGGATATGGTATAGCGATATGGATACTGTGGCCGAGATCGACCACATTCCTGTTAGAACTTACTAAGGTGTTTCACATGGACAGATTGAGGAAGGAGTGAGCCTGGAGATTCGCCATGGCAGTCTCTGATCGGTTCACAGAACTCAAAAACCTGATAAACCCATTAGCTCTGTGGGAGTCCTTCAAGGCTGAGGAGGTTTAAGGCCATTTCTTAATAAATGACCTTCACCCTGCCTGCCGAGCCCTGAGAAAAC